TCTGTTTTGCTTAGAGATCGGACGGCTGCTTGTAAGGGCCATTTCTGTTTTGCTTAGAGATCGGACGGCTGCTTGTAAGGGCCATTTCTGTTTTGTGGCAATGGTTCATTCTTTCTGCAAGGACTGAGCGAGTGCTATCTCCAGCCGCTGGGGTCGGGGCAGTGTTTCCTGCTCCCTGGCAAATGCCCTGGCCAGGGCTCCAGGCTCATTTTCCTGGCCTGAGTCTGACTGTAGTCCTCCTGTCTCGGGAGCTTTGCCTGAGGGAGCTGCAGAGTAGCAGGGCCCAAGGCAGCAGGGTGGGGGTGGAGCAGGGTGTGCTCCCTGCAGGACGAGAGCCCTGACTGCACCCCCACGTGCCCTCTGCCGTCGTCCATGACAGGTGAGGCCCACCTGCTCCACAGCGCCTTAGGACTGGGCTACACAGCTTTCCTCGGGGTTATCTGCAAGGGTAACGTGCAGGGCTGAGCTGAGCGTGCTGGCTGAGCGTGCTGGCTTCGGTTCTCAGCACCAAGGAAACAGTATTTGTAACAAATCAAACAATTCTGAATCACATAAACATAAACATTATCTTCACGTCCCCTTCCCTCCGCTCTCTAGTAGCAATGATTTGGGTGCACAGAGAGACGCGGTGTGCACCACATCTACTCTCGGAAGGGAAGAGGAGGTGGAAGAGATGTGACAGAGAAAACCTGGGAACCAGAGCGACCTCGTTAGGCTCCTTCCCGCCTGCTTCTGATAAGCGCTGATGCGACACTGGCGCTGAAGATCTAAGCAAGGCAGAGGGCGTTTCCCTGCTCCCGGGACACCCGGCACCCGGCCCGCACTCTGCTTTCTGCACAGCTGGGCAGTGAAACCAGGGCCTTCACACTGAGCTACACCCCTGGCTTCTTTCGAATTTTTCAATCCAAAAAATTTAAAATTCAAAACATTCAGAGAATTTTTAAATTCTCTTTTACATTTTGAGACAGGATCTTGATAATTTGCTACATTGCCTGGGCTGGGCTGGAATTTGTGACCCTCCTGCTTCAGCCTTCTTTTGGGCTGGGATTGTAGGTGCCACCATGCCCGGCCTAACACTGCCTTCCTGAAATCACAGCTCTGGGAAAGCAGCTCATCAGCTCAGTCAAATGCTGGAACTCACTGCTGAGAGAAGCTACGAGTCACCCTGTCCGGTATCTTAGAGAGAGGAGGCGGCCATGTGGCTTGGTGGACTTGGCTCCTCACTTGCCTGACCACCCGGTGTCTCCAGCCTCAGGACTGAGTTCCCAGTTGTGACATTTCCAGCTGGCTGACTCGGGCAGGAAGGGCACAGTGGGCGGGGGCAGAGGCGCAGACTTACGCGTCCCCGGCGCTGATGGCCATGACCTTGCGGAGGCCCCCCGTGCTCAGGAGGTCCCGGGCGTGCTGGTAGCTGTTCTGGGTGACGTTGTTGAGCGTGTAACAGGCCGAGGCTGTCGTCTCCACGAGAAGGTCCGTTGTCGGGACTGTGTCAGGAATGATGGAAACCAAATCCGGCAGGGTTTCTTTGGCTGCAAAATGACAGAAAAAGAATACTTGATTAGGAAGATTTTCCTTCAGCCCAAGATTTCAATACATTTTGGGTAAAGGACATTTGCAAAAAGAGACACGGTTGATTAACAAACACATGGCAAGATGTTACTTCTCTAATCATCATATTTGAAACGTGAACTTTGAAAATCTCACAAAGCGATTGGACAGAAATGCCAAGACTTTTTAAATTTTCATATTCTTCAACTCAGCAGTTCCACTTCTGAGAATACACTTTGAAGACATCACTTTAAAAACATGAAAATGCTTTCCATAGAGATCTGACAGAATTATGTGTAAGTGAAAAATTATAGCAAACCTAATCTCACAGGACTAGGAGTAAAATATACTTGCAAAGAACGCTACGCCTTCCACAGCATATCCAGGAAGGCTGCATAACAAGAAAACGCTATGTTAATATTCCGTGTGAAAAACAGGTCTATGAGAAATCTGTAACATTATAAAATAAAATACAAATACGAGAACTACACTAAGATATTAGTAGAACTGTTTTTCTACAACAGTATTAGTGCTGATCTAAAAACATTTAAAATTTATCTATGTTTTCCAAAGTTTCAAAGAAATACATAAACAGTACCACTGTTCTAAAAGAGGATTAAAACTATTTTATTTATTTATTTATTTATTTAGGTTTCTTTTTTTCCGGTACTGGGAATTGAACTCACGACCTTACGCTTGCCAGGCAGGCGCTGTGCCTCTGAGCTAACTCCCCAGCCCCAAAACTATTTTAAATTTTCTTTTTACCACGTGTGTAATTCTTGGTGGCAGGTTTGAGTTTAGCATCCTGCACTGTAACAAAAGAGGGAAGATCTAGCAATAGTACTCTTGTGAAGGTTTACTATAAGTTGTCCTCTGATAGGTATTTTGGGCGATGAGAGTTGTATTTTATTTTTCATAATAACTTCTATGTATTTTCTGTTTGTCCATCTTCTCTAGCGTGTGCTGCTCGCACGGCTCCTTAGTAGAGCGTCGCGCAGGCTGTGGGTGTAGAACGGGCACTCACTGGTTTTGTTTTGCCCTCTTCTGCGTGCAGGCTGCACTCTGAACGGTTCTTCTCGCTACGACCCTGGGGGATGCTCAGGTGTGCACCTGTCTGAATTTCAGATGGGCTTATAGGTCCCTTCATACAGTGATTTTCTTCCTTCCAGTTTCCAGGATCAGTCATCCCTGAAGCCGAGAGGCGCTCAGTAAAAGGCCCCCAGTGACATCACCCAAGGGTAAGCGGAGCTGACTGACAGGTGAGACACCCGCTCAGAGACCTGAGCACCTCCTCCTTCACCGTGCCTTAAGCAGCGTGGCTCTGTCGCTCCAGTCCTGGCTCTGCTGTGCCATGGTCCTGCGGTCCTGTGGCTTGCTGCTCTATCTGTGCTGACTTCCCTAGCTGTGCCGCAGGGAGATGATGCTAACCATCCTCATGAGTGCTGCGAGGGAATTAGTGAGTTCACACGTGTGCCTTGTTAGTTATCATTAGTAAGCCTGTGGCAGGCAAGAGGTTAAACTGCAGGATGAAAGACCCAGACGGCAGGAACTTTGCTGTCACTGCGTTAAGCTGACGGCTTGGAGAAAAGCCTGAATCACCCCACTGGTCCCTCTGCAGGGTGCCCGACCCTGGATGCTGATCTGAGCAAGGACAGCTCTGCCTCACCCTGCCCACCATACCATAGGTCCCTGCTTCAGACCAGCACTGGCTGAGCACTGGCCCGGCCGAGCCGCAGCGCTGATTAGGCTGGAGCCTGATGTTTTTGCTCAGGTTATTTTTCTCAGAAAAGGAGAGCTGTTTACAGTGGCAAAGTGGATACCACAACATAGCACAGGAGGGTGTGTATCTAGCACAGCACGGCCACAGCCGTATTACCCACATTTCTTTCTCTCCACATATGAGGTGTGTGCAAAAAACACGGGAAATACATATTTAAAGGGGCTGGGGATTTAGCTCAGTGGCAAAAGCGCCTGCCTGGCAAGCGCAAGGTCGTGAGTTCGATTTCTGGTACCAGAAGAAAAACAAAAACAAAAACAAACAAAAAACATATTTAAAAAAATTTACTATAGTAGATAATACATTGCTATAAATACCCTCAGAATACTCAAGATACCCCTCACTTCAAACTCACTTATCTCATCCTTTTGAAAATGTCTTTTATTGAAGTTTAAAACTTTAATATTCACTGTGCCTTTCAATCAACTCTTGTACACATATACACTCACACACACAAACACGTTAATATATACCTCTATGACTGTAATAGATGTATTTCTACTCCTGACTGTACCGTGGGCCTGAATAAGATGTTACTGCTTGGAAAACACTAGTAATAATGAGTGGGTAGGAACTGGGACTGTCGCAGGCACCTGGCTTCTCAGTGTGTGCACGATCATCATTTTACTCGGTCCTGGAGAGACCCTGTGCGGTACAGTCGTCACCTCTGGTGCACAGTAGTGAAATGACACCCCCAGGTGACACACGTGGGCAAGTGGCACCGTGAGAGGCAGACCTAGCGTGGCTTCTCCGTGACATCTGTTCTTCTGTCACCAAGCCATACGGCCTACCTCAGGCTTTGGAGAGGATGGTTTCGCGATTGCTTCTGAAAATGTAAAATGTGATGTAGGTCAGCGCGCAGACAGTGCCCTGGCCTAGAGCTCTCTCAGGAGAAGCACAGAGCATGTATTCTCACATATCCCCACTTACTCGAGGCTACTGACAAGTCAAAATCACAAAGGTTCCATTACTTCATTTATATACTTGGCATAGAGCCAATGTGGGGTTTTGAAACTGCACTTAGCCTGCGGACACTTCTCTCTGTCACTCGTAGAGAGAGGGTGGGCACGGACCATCTTATCCAAAGCTATGGGCCAAGCGCTCCCCTTCCAGCTGTTAGGAGGGGGAGTGCAGGGCTGGGATGGACAACAACTTTGCCTAGAGACACGGCACGGACGGCGCAGTTACCTTGGCAACGTTTTAAAGATGGAATCAACCTTTCATTTGAGAAAAGACATAATACACCTCTACGGAAGTCCAGCACAAAAGCCCACATAAGACAGTGGGGAGAACACTTCCATAATTTTGAGAGTGCGCCCTCCCTGGCAAGGTGTTCGGGATCCACAGAGCAGTTTCCTGCTCGCCTTTCTTTTACAACAGCTGTAGAACCACTCGAGTGTGGTGCTGGCTGGCTTTGAAAATCAGCGACTTGAGGGCCAGGGATACAGCTCAGTGGCATAAGCACCCGCCTGGCAAGCACAAGGTCTTGAGTTCAATTCCTGGTACCAAAAAAAAAAGAAAAACCTGACTCTAATGGAGCTCACAGACCTCAGTAGTCCTGGTGCAGGGTGTGTGCGCACTCTGGAATCTAATCCATTATGGGAAAGGAGCAAAAATGTGTCTGTAATTTTAGTAGAATTTTGTGAGTAACTGAATTTAGGTTGTGAGACAGGACTGGTTTTCAGTGCATTAGGAAGCACGCTTAATTTTAGCATTGTCATCCTAGGAATCTCATTTTATATCCTAGGCTTGAGTCAACATTTACCGGATGCTTCTTGCTATAAGTGAATGAACGAAAAATTACGTTATCCAACAGCGTACTGCAGGGATTATCTTTGTTGGATAGTCTCCCCAAGAAGGCAGGTGTGTTTCTTTCTATTTAGTCTAAAGCCCAGCTGGGCCAAATCTGCTACAGTCAGTCACTGCTTTTGTCTTTCTCTTGAGTTTATCTGTCTATCTTTTCTTTTTTGAGTCCAACAAACTGCCCAGCTTCTACAGTAAGCAACTGCTGCGGCATTGCCTTAGCGCTGTAGAACGGGGTGCGCAGGCCGGCCTCGGGAGCGTCCTGAGCCGCAGCTGTGAGCATTAAAGCTGTGTGAAGACAGACTGGCGAGGCCTGGGGTGAAAACTGCCAGACAGGTTACTTACCTCGTCAGGTACGTCTGGCCTAAATGTCTCTCTGTAAGTGCTAGGGCTTGTGTCTAGCTGTCCCCGCAAAGCTTCATGTAGTCTTAAGTGGGGCTTTTCCGAGGTAGCTGGATCCAGGGTGTGTGATGCTGGGATTATGTAGGAGATGCCGGGACTAAGGGTCTGTGACTACTGAAATAGTCCACTGATCGGTCTGGCATCGTTCCAGGAGTGGATGAGGTGAAGGCCCACCACAGGAGTGGGGACTACCCACCCTAAGGGCGTGTGGCCTGGGTAGAATACAAGGGACAGAAAGAGGGCTGATGACTTCGCTGCTTTGCTGCCTTTTGTCTTCTGCCTGCCGTGGACTGTTTCTCCTCTGCCATGCCGCTCTGCCTTGCAGCCAGCCAACTATGGACTGAAACCTCTACTAATTGTGACTCAATAAATCTTTCCTCTTTTCTTTTTGGGTGTTGGGTATTTTGTCTCAGCAATGAGAAAAGGAACTAAGACAGTAAGTAATTAAAACAAACAAAAAAACTAGATATTAAGAAAAATTCAAAGTAGGTGTAGTGGCGCACATTAGTGCTGTGATTTCAGCACTCAGGAGGCTGAGGCAGGAGAATCTCGAGTTTGAAACCAGTCTGGCCAAGTTGGCACGATCTTGTCTCAAAAAAAAAAATCAACACAAAATCCCATTTGAGGTCGAGACCCTTGATGCTTGCTAGCACAAAAGCCAAGCCTGTTTATCACCTTCTGCTCTTATCTCGCTTTTCCAGTTCACCCCTGTGAGAACACGTGATACAGACCATGCTTCACTGTGCTTGTATTTTTGCTGTGTGCTTACTACATGCAGATCTGCTTGCTACTGACTCACCAATTTCGTTCTGCAGAGAGAGATTCCGGGACAAGTTCCTCAGCAGGGAGACGGCCGTCTTCTTCACACTGGGGTCCCCGATGTGCAGCATCTTCCGGGTGTGCTGCAGGCCGCTCTCCTTCTGCACCACGGTCTGCGCCACCGACGTCGGCATCTGCGTGGAAGACGCGTGTACTAAGTGCGCATGCGCTGGGCCGTGACATTTTTCTGTGGACCACGAGAGGCTGAGGGAGATGTTTTAGAAACTAGACATGCTTAGGAACCAGTCTCAAGGTATTTTCTTTAAATTCTCATTAGGTTTTCAACGTAGTAAAAACCAGTTTCTTCAATATTTTTGGTGCAGCGTTGGATTTGGTTAGCTGCTGCAGTTTTGCCGCTGTGCTTATACATTAAATGGGTCTGTCGCCCCTTTTCTTGTACTTCCCTTACTGATCTTAGAATCAAGGTTACAGTCATGTCCTCAAATTAATTTTGTCTTGAACTACCTGTACTCTAAGAATAAACCACCCTTCGCGGGTTTGGTAGAATTCAGCTGCGTAGCTACATCAGATGTACGTGTCCACAGTGGCACAGACCTTTGCTTACCTCAATACCAACCCAACCGAGAAAAGATTTTTTTTTTTTTTT